TGTAGCAAGAACGTACTTTGCTTTGCCACTGGGAGGTAATGTTACATAACATTGTGTTGTAACTGAGTTTACGTAACTGACGGGATATCATTATGTTCTTTCTGCCACCAGGTGGAGCCACAGCTGCGTCACTAATATCTGATATTGACCTAAAAACCACATTCAAACACACAACACAGACCAACCACAACTTCTAACATTACACCTGAGAAAAAAACAACAACCTCAAGATGTATGAAGAGTCATCTCAGGAGATGAGGGTGTTAAATGTGACTGCTCCCAGTAGCACAGTGTCTTTCACCGATGAAGCTGTGTCCATCCTGACTTCAAGCAGTTTGCTTGCGCGCTCGCTACTGGGCCGAACATCGGCGCTTAAATGCAAAGACACCGCTTCATCCAACATCAGCTCTTTGAGGCGTAAGCGGGAGTTTATTCCTCACGAGAAGAAGGATGAGGGCTACTGGGACAAGCGCAAGAAAAACAACGAAGCCGCAAAGCGCTCTCGCGAAAAACGGCGCGTAAATGACATGGTGCTGGAAAACCGCGTGCTGGCGCTGCTCGAGGAGAACGCCAGGTTACGAGCCGAACTGCTTGCACTGAAATTTCGCTTTGGCCTCATTAAAGATCCGTCAAACGCTACCATACTTCCGCTCACAACAGGAACCTGCGTCCCACAACCTTCGGCGCCACATTACTACCTTCCACGTGGGGATGGCACTCACCAAGCTGGTCCAATGTTGACAAATCAGTCCCAAAGTGGACCGCAATCTGGGCGAAGTATCAGAGATGCCAGCAGTATGTCAGAAGACTCAGGTTTCTCCACACCTGGAGGGTCTAGTGTTGGAAGTCCCATCTTCTTTGAAGACAGACTAAGCGAGCATGGAAAGTTGTCTCCGCATCAAACAGATGAGCTGGGTTACGAGTCCCATCACTCCCCAACTGATGTTTTAGCAATGGGACATGTCCCCATGTCATCCAACCGGATGGAGCCGGTGGATGGTATGAAGAGTCTTCCGCACAAGCTGAGGTTCAAGTCTCCAGGCAGCGGCGAATGTGACAATCCTGGAGACCGACAAAGTCCTGTGCTGCCCGCGGTTGGCCCAAGAGTTCACAGCCTTTCGGGGACAACCGAAGGAGCAGGTTACTGGACACCGCAAGACGGAGAAGATGCCCGAAAAGTCATGCCACCACAGCAGCAGCAGTACAGGAATTACAGCCACAATGCGAAGCCAAACGAATCTCAATACCAAGCCGAGAACAGCATGCTCAAGTCTCAGCTCAGCTCTCTCAGCGAGGAAGTGGCCCAGCTCAAAAAGCTCTTCTCCGAGCAGTTGCTCACCAAAACAAATTAAGACTTTGTAAAGAGCGCACTGGAACACTGCAAATACTCACAGTCATGAACATCCATAGATTATGAATGGAAAGAACGCAGCATGTGCATCACTACCTCTTCACACTCAGTCATAACCAAACGGAACTTGCATATCCACCTTATTTTGCCATGTGGAAGTAAGCTATTGTCCGTGAACGTGCGAGATTTCCAGTTCATTAGAAAAAAATAAGAGTAAAGTGCAGTAAACAGTAAAACTATTTAAGATTATAATATTAACTAAAAATATAAGAATTACCAATTACCTTGCAATATCATGCAGCATAATGGACTGTTTTCATTCAGCTAAAATAACTGGAAGCAAATGACACTGGAAGCCTTACACGTTCAAGTTACAAATAGCTGTGCCCCACTCTTATGTTACAAATAAGGTGGATAATGACTTTTTTTTACCCCTTCCTTTAACTTACATTCAGGAACATTCAAGAGCATTCCAGCGGCATCGGGACACGTCAGCTACAACGCCTCACCTCAATTCGTTCAGTTGCTCCTTTTGCCTCAAACACTGTGATCTTGCTAAAAAAAAAAAAACGCCTCAGGCTCCTATAAAACAATGTCTGCACACAGACCTGTCGGTCACTGTAAATGTAAAATGAAACATAACATCCTCCGTTGTAAAGTCATTCCTCTATTATGTGCCAACACTACTTAAATACTTGGCATTAAGTGAGAGGAGATGCGCGGTGAGCCTGAACGTCTTCACACTGTAATATTCCTCCTGTGGTTTGACAGATTTATGAATAAAGTATAAGAAATTGCTTTTTGCAACATATATCCTGATTAAAGCCGAACAGGAAACACCAAGGGGGAAATAATGGAAATAATTTTGATTATTGTCATGAACCAGTAGCAACTCAGCACTGAAAGACTGCATCATATTTTTTTTTTCCATACAGATCACTGCCGTTGTCCTGACAAGGATATCTAAATTGAATTACACTTGTTACTTGCATTTTGATGGTTGAATTTTCTGTTGTCTTGTGAGTTCTTGTGTATTTGAACAGTAAATATACAATATGTTTGTGTGAATAAATATTTGAACTGTTTGTTTGCCTTTTATTATTAAACTAAAATTTAACTTGTGGAGCCTAATTTATCATCTAATATAAATTTTATATAGCTAATAATATTTAAAGTATGTTTAATTGTCTAGAGGGACAGACAACAGTGGTTTCACAACATGTTTTTTAAAACAAATTCTCTTGCATTAAAATGTGAGAACCATCTCTGAATTCCCAGAATCACTTAGGACAGTGTTTTGACTTGTACACAAGTGCAGTTCTCATGGACTATCACCTCTGCTTGGTATACATCAAGTTTTAACAGAAATATTCAAAGCCCTGGGGGCAATGACATCGTAGATGTCTCAATATACCAGCTCAAATGTTACGTTCATGAGAAAGCAGGTTTGAAATGAGAAACCACAAGCCAAGATCTTGAAAGATCGTTGGGTGTAAAAAAAAAAAAGCTGTCAAAATAATTAAGCATGGACAACAATTACAGAATTGATGTAGAAACCCTACAAAAATGCTAGCTAATTTAACAGTTACAGAGAAATTAAAAGTAACACTGAATTAAACATGAAATTCTGAAATAGAAAAAGCTGAAATCACATTTTCTTGTAAAATGCACTCAAAATCTTTTCAAAGTTGTGTACAGTGTACAATAAAGAATCCATTGCTCCCTTAAAAGTGCTATAAATCTTATTTATAACTACTATCTCCATGATGAGTTCAATATACTGTATATATTTTATAGGCCCATAACTCCTTAAATAATCCACAATTGTTCTTGCAACACTAGCACAATCCACAAGAGGTCAGCCAATCATTTTGCATTTCCATTCAGAGTATACGCACTCACACGCACCGCGTTAATAATATAAACCGAATTAAATGACACACAAAGATTTGCACGACAAAATCACCTGATTCAAGACCAAGTTTCACCTTGACATTTCCCCTGTACTTCCTTTATACCAAGAATAAACATCTGACACCAAATATAGGTTTCCTCAGTCCCATGAGAACTGAGCTCAGCTGAGACCAATTCTGGTGACGTAAGAGCATATAAATAGATGCAAGAGTCTATTTAAGGAGCTAATCTCTAAAACAAGACACAAAGCTTTTCCTGAGCTTCAGTGTTTACGTACAAGCTCTGTCACTTCCACACATTAATGATTCCCCGGGTAATTTCCCTCCCTGACATCCCTGCTCGACTGGTCCACTGACTGGCTGATCTTCATCACTCACGCATTCAAACGGAGGCGGGGCCTGACATAAGGCGGGTAGCGCGACGGTTGCCATGGAAACCTCTTCCAGACGATGCTGGGTGCGGTGGTATTGGGGCGTTGAAGGCGGGAAGGAGAAGGGGGGAGGGGACAGCGGGCCACATCAAAGTACAAGGTCATCTTCACAATAGCCTACTATTGTGTCTGTGACTTCAGTCAGTAAGGAAAGGGAGACATGTTGTTTTCTTTCTATTAAAAAAAACATATGAGGTGGCTTCAGATTGATGGAAAAATTAGGAAACATATTGCTAACACTTTCTTGCCAGTCCCTTTCTCCTATTAAGATCAGCAGATGGGGGATTCTCACAAAAGCTGTCAAGAAAGTGCTTAGGTCATATTACAAAAAAAATTTAAAAAAATAAAATAAAAGCTAGTTCATTTGTTTTATTTATTAAATAAATAAAATGTTAGGACCATCAAGGAAATGTTTAATATAATATTCCAATAATAATAATAATAATAGCAACAACAACAATAATAATAATAATAATACTATAGTAATAATAATAATAATTATTATTATTATTGTATTCTTATTACCATAATGTTACAAAATATCTGTACAGTACTATTTGCTGTATTCCAGGATTTTTTGTTGTGTTGAATTAAAAAATTAAAGCATTGATTTCTTGCTATATTATGATATTACGGTTATTTTAATAATCATTGAAAATAAATAGAAAATTAAATCCTGTATACAGTTTACTAAACATAGTAAAATGCAGATTATCAATACAAATATCAACAATGCAAAAGTAAAATGTCAATATTACAGTAACCCTGGGTAATTACCAGGGGTAAATGTGCTTTAATGTCTGAAAATAGTGATGCAAAGAATCTTAATGCTTTTCTAAATGGATTTATTTATTTATTTATTTTCCTTTGTTTACAAAATGGGGGTGAAAAATGACTCAGACAGTACTGTACAAATAATTTCTCCTTAAATATTGTCACTGGGATTCACTCAGACATTAAGCTAAATAAAAAATCAGCTGGCAAAAAACATTGGTTTAAATTGGGTCAAGGCCTTCACAAGGCACTTGTTTATGCTTGTATTTATTTAGTAACCACTTTTTAAAATATCTGGAGGGAAAAACCGCAACAACAACAAAAACTGTGGAGGAGAGTGTTATGCGCAATTACCGAATACATTTTCATAGATCTATAAGAGGTAAGTCACATGTAACCTTAATACCTATGTGTTCACCATGTCAGCCTTATTATGAATATGACCGTCCTACATCTGAGAGTAGGCCTGGCCGCCTGCCTGATCCCTCCCAGTTATTATGGCTTGCGGATGGGAGGGAGCTAGGGCTGGAGGTAGGTGGGGGCAAAAGAAAGAAACAAAACGTGACGAGGCACCCGAAGCGTCCTGTTATGCAACCGCTGACCTACTAACATACATTTCTAAACAGAAGCAGCTAGCGGCAGGATACTGGAGCGCCTCGCCAACACAATACAAGGAACCAGGGCAAAAACACACAGGCTGCGGAACCCATGCGTACTGGACACGGCGTGTAGTGTGTGTGTGCATCACTTCGCCTTTTATTCAAGTGACCGAGGCTGATACAAAGAGACTAATAATAGTCATCGGGCCACAGAAATATTTTGGATACAAGCACAAAAGCCACAAACGGTATGTTTGATTAATTGCTTACTACTTTTGGGTGCACGCTCACACAAACGTTGTATGCTCACAACTGCATTGGTGATGCTTGTGCTTCTGGCGTGATCTTGCGGAAATTTTAGGCGGTTATTAAAACGAGGTAACTGAAATTATTCCAAGTAGCTATGATATTTGAAATGCAACGGCTTCTGTTTACTCACAGATAAAGGTTTAGTTTATTTTTGTGTATTTACGCATGCTCATTACAGATTCGGATGTTGCTCAGTGTGCATGTTCGCAATGTTAAGGCGAGCCCGGGACCCCTCGCGACTGTTGACAGGACATTTAGCACTTGGTGCCCGTAAAATATTTTTGTTTCCATACACAATTCACCATGCACACAATTTTTCTGTATGCATATTTGATTGTTTGTTTACATTTAGTAGCTAATGATGCAATACTGCGCCATTTGAACATTAGTACATGAATATATGAATCGGAGTTACAGAAAGTTCAGTCGGGCGTAACACTTATCATTTTGATTAAAACACTAACATATTAGCTACATTATATCGCTGGAAATGTTTTGATATATGGTTGCTGTTTAATGTTTGCCAATGACCTTTTAATTCAAGTTTTCACAAAGTGTAAAATCCAATTGGGTTAGGAAGTTAATGCGGCGGTTTGGGAGGAAAAATCCCGGACACACTTCTCGCTGTCACGTGTAACTGTGCTCGGTAAAGGTTAACGCGGGTGTTTACGTTACAAGACTCAGACCTGTTAACTCTTTCCTGGTATACAGACACGAGCAAATATCGACTGGAAATCAAATGTAACTTTGTTGCATGTAAAATGCAATGCTTGCACAAGTAAAAGCTCGTTTACGTTATTGATATCCATCAATATTTTATCTTGGTAGGCTACACAGTGTGGGAATTATGCAGTAACATTTAGAGGGATTTTTTTCAGCCAGAAATCTGGCTATTTTAAGCTTGTCTCCCGAAACGCAAATAATTCTGAATGCAGCGATTAAATAATTTCAGTACTTAAGATACTGAAGGGAACTGTTGCTACCTTAGTATTCGGATGCGGGATGGCGACTATTTACCGCACTCTTAACTATTTTAGTTACTGTTGTATTAAGTGTTGAAACCTAATTATGGTGGACAGATCCCTCAGATGTGCATGCTATTTGTGTATATAATGATTATAGATGTCAATGCATTTTGCATTGTTATTCTCCTGAGCTTCCAGGCAGATGGTTGTAAACTGATTTATTGAGATCCTCATCTTTGATTACGTGTTTATACAGTGTAATTTACATGTGTAATCATTTTTTTTTTTAAGTTAGTTTTTTTTGTGGCCCTTATGACAGTGTAGTGTGCTAAGAATAATATAAGTATGTTTTAAATCATAAGATTTGGATTACAAATTTTAGGTTCAACAACGTGTATTAGGATATGTAGTATGCAAACATGCACTGTAGCATTCCACAGAAATAAGTCAAGCATGCATGCATGATATCAACCTAAAATTTGTGGATGTGAGATTTGCTTGACAACTTGCAGTTTTCATTTGACATCAGTCTTTCTGTGTTAAGAGTTACATAACGGTGAGAAATGAGAGGTCTAAAATAATAATAATAATAATAAATATGTGGAGTCTTTAAGGCATCAGGGGGCATCAGACGAACTGCTTCGTGTGCCAGCGCAGAATGTAGGTCATAAACCTGAAGAAAACACACCCTCTCGTCTGCCATAACAAAGAACAAAGATTCTGCCAGTTTACAACAAAATCTTGCATATTGGGACCTGCTTCAACAACAATGCCAAAAAAAAAACACACATTAGTAGTGCCAGCTCTCTGAGTGTTAAATTGTGGGGATGAATATTTCAGATTGTTAACAGATAACAAAAACACTTTTGTTAAGTGCAATGTCATTGTTGGTTTACAGTGTTGATTGTGACTAAGTTTATTGTACCCTTTAAGCAATACACATTCATTCAGTTTGTGGATTTCTTAAGATTTCTCATAGTGAAAGAGAAAGGAAGATAGGGAGGAGATGTGTCGTTATTGTGCCGATGTGGCTAACAGGGAGAGGCGAATTACCATTTAGTTTTGTGGGGCAAGAGAGCACATGTGACTGGCGAAACACATGGACTTGGTCAAAGCATTTATTTTTTTCAATAGATGATGATATGAGTGTGTTTATAGAAAGAGTTGGCCTGGAACTCCTGCTTGTCCAAGGCCTGCCCTCCTCCTACTGGAGGAGATAAACCCAGGCGTGGAATCCACAGGAGAAAAAAAATGAGCTCCTACCCCACGTGCCGAATATTACATTCTGCCCCAGGGTCAATTACATGGCCACAATGAAATCCGCCTTCTCCCATTATTTCCATTACTAAAACGGCTGTAAAGCAAAACATGAAACATTTGAGCTGAATTATAGTTTCCAGGCCTCGCCCAAGTAAAGACTACAGTGGGACAGACATGCTATTTCTTCCCCGATGAAACCTCACATGCACAAATATATATAAATATTATAAAATGAAGAGATTGAATGAAAGAGACACTGTATTTACATTTATAATAATTAGAATTTTATTCTAGTCATTTCAAGAATAAGAATTTTAAAACTACTTCAAAAGTATACATAACACAGTAAAGGTGCTCTACTCATTTGAAGTTGATAATAATGATTGGCATTTGTGAATAATCTGAAATGATTCATTGAGAAAATAAGTGATTGATTCAGTCAATGAATCAGATGGTTTGATGGAATTCCTAAAAATAACTAAATCAAGCATTTTTCTCACAAATTTGACAGTATACCCTAGCATAACACTAAGTACTATGCCAGTATTAATAATTTTGTTTAAATTTGATTCAGTTTTCTCAGATAATTGGGAAATTGGTGCTGATCTTTGATGTGGCTTTTTTGTTTTTTTTGTTAGGGTGTCTTGGAAAGCGCTTTGTGTAGCTGGCATTCAGAAAAATGTCTGCAAAATCTTTTCCCTGCATTTTTTAAAAATCTTTCTTCATTCCGTTTATCCTCAATCTATCCCTCACCTCTCTATTTTTAGCAAACACTTTAATTCCCTTGCCCTTTCTGCCTCTATCTCTCGTGATGCCTGTTTCACTCCTGACCTATATTTGAGCACAAGAGAAAAAAGTTTTTTTCTTGCTAGCTGCCCAGTTTCTAGGTCAGTGGGTCATTCAGGGAGACTCTTTAGTTTTGTGCCTCACTTAAATGTCTATTTGTTCATGAAACTCCCTGTTTACCTGTTTAACATTATTTACATTCAATAAAGATTGCACTTATTCCATTCATAGCATCAACTAATTAAGGGAGGAAAATTACTCTTTTGGCCCTGTGCATTACCAGACTAAACCAGAAAGTGTTGATTGAAGCCATCAGAAGAGGCTTAAGCTGTCTGTAGTTACGTAATGTTGCCTCAGATGTCTGGGATGAGAAGAACATAACACATAAAAAGGGCAGCCAGATCATGGGATTACACTGCGTTCTTCTGCCTAATTTCTGATGCAGATGTCATACTTAATGCTACAGAGTCATGGTGCTGTTTTAGATATGCAAGTATAGTCTTAACTAAGAGTCTCTTGTACTGTTGCTTCTCCTAATAAATATAGCATCGCTTTTACTCTCAGTGTAAACTAAAATTTGTGATAGTTCACTTTATATTTATTCTTTTATTGCTAGAGAACAAATATTAGGAATATTAGAGAGTATCAAAGTAGAATTATGGATTAAGACTAGATATTTTCAGTCAAATGTGTTTTTTAAGTTTGTAGAGAAAAAAAAGGAAATCAGGCACCTTTAGCTGAACAACATCGTGACATTGAAATAGGGAGTTGGTGCTCAGTTTAGGTCATGATCGGATCACAGCAATGTGGAATTGCCCACTGGCTGCTGAGTTAATCATCACTGGCGACTCTGCTTTTCCATTAGTGCTCACTTTAGATGGCTGAAACAGTTACCACCCCTGGATCTGAACTCATGTTGATGGAATGTTCCCCTTTTTCCAGATATGCTTGACCTATATTGCAAAGCTCTCAATCCGCAGATCATAAAACCTGGCTTGCCTTTTGCCTGACCTCGGTTTATCTGCCATTATAGTAATTATTGTTATGAGGTTTTCTTGGCTTCTCCTCATTTTTCATCTAAAGCATGCTTCTTTCGAAAGTTCTCCTTGAAAGCCTTTTAGTGAGTAGTCATTAAAAAATGAAGTGTTAATGTTTTTAAATTCAGTTCCTGGGCCCCACTGCATATTGGGGCACCAGAGTGTTTGGACTGTGCAGCCAAGAGTAGATGTGTTGTAACATTTGATGTTAATGTTTCAAAAGCAGAAACCTCTTGCACTGGTTCCCTCAGAGCAGATGATGTAATACAGGATAAGGTTTCAAAATGTTAAAACAAATCATGTGTTCATTGCTAATGTTTACCATATGTGTAGTCCTGTTTACAGAACAGTCTTGACTGAATTCTGTACAAAGGGTGATGTTTAACTTGTGTCAGAATGAGGAAACAAATTTTAGGTAATTTTTGTTTAGCTGTAGATCCTTAGTGACAAAAAAAAAAAGTGCAGCTTGGGTAATCACTGATAGCGTTCCTAACCTCTCTTTCTCTTTGCATCATGAGAGTCCAGTGTCTAGCCAGAGAGTAAAGGTCAAGGGTCACAGACAGACAAATCAATATCAGGGTTAGCAGGTCAGGCGGTGGTTGCCAGGCAACAGAAAACATTCTGTGGTTGTCAGGGTTGAGAAGATGAAGCAAGAGGATATGACAAAGACACGGCTGAACATTCCACTTCTAAATCTTCTGATTACCCAGCCACTCAGAGAAGCATGGAGAGTTTCATTAAAAATGAAAAAGCACAACAAATTAAAAGATTTCTTTGAAGTGGCTAAAGGCAAACTGTGAATTGCTTTAGCTTTCGAGGATTAACAAATCTGTCTTTCTTTTCTCTTTTATGTTTGCAGCCTTTCATCGAACAGCCAGCTGGAGGCTTTGGGCGCAGCAGCACCCCTCCCCAAGAGGCCGACAAGCTGGGGCAGACCGAGTGACCTATATCCTCCAACACGCCCAAGGCACTGGGACACATCTCTGTCGGCTTGATAGAGCCGTTACATAAAAGAATAAAAGTGAAAACAAAGAAAAGGGGGTCAGAATTCTTTAAGCAAATTTGGTCACATTTCCTGTACTTCAGGACTTTATTGACCCTCTTTTATTCCCCTGTTTGGCTTTGAAAGACATTGTGTGCAAGACAGCCAGAAGAGTTTTTTTGGGTTTGTTAATTGCAGGAGACTCATAAAGAGGTGCACCTGTTCTTACTCTTCTTAGCCAAGCTGGACACTTGATCATCAAGGGATATTTGCTTGAGCTTCACATCAACAAAATCAATGAGGTTCAGTTTTCCAGGGACTAAAATACCTCATAAAGTCTTTGATTTTCCAGCTACTTTCCCCCTTTACCCCATCCTTGTTTCTACATTTATTTCCATTTTACCAGTGGTGAAGCAGAAGTTCCAAACTGGTTCCCATTGAGGAACAATGGAAAGTTTGAGCTTAGAAATTTCAACAAATTCGAGTGCCGGCAAAACCTTAAAGAACACAGAAAGCTTTCTGGACTACAGTGATCTCCTCCATTCACCTCAAAGCAACATTCGTCAGAGCCACCATCTCAAACCAAAGCCAAATATGAGCTGTCGACGCAAGCGTGAGTTCATCTCAGATGACAATAAGGATGCATCCTACTGGGAAAAGCGACGCAAGAACAACGAGGCTGCCAAGCGTTCCCGGGAGAAACGGCGCTATAATGACATCATCCTAGAGAACAGAGTTATGGTGCTGAACGATGAAAATGTACGTCTGAAAACTGAGCTTTTACAACTTAAGCTCAGGTTTGGTATGATAAGTACAGCCTCCTACATGGAAAAGAGTCAGCAGATTGGTGGAGCAGGCAATGGAAGTCCTGGGGGAAACTCCACATCCTCCTCTACCACAAGTCGTTTCTACCCTAATGGTTACTCAAGTGTTTCTCAGATGATGATAAACTCTGATTCTTCTGAAACGGACCAGTCTGTTCGAGGAGACAGGCATGTGAAAATGGCAAAATACTCCCCACGAGGTTCCCTCTCCGATATGTCCGATGGCTCCTCTCGGGACAGCCCAGAGCCACTTGTGTATGACATCAAGCAGGAGGGGATGGGTCTAGATATGGACATTGTCAACAGCACTACCACACAGATCATGCTAAACATTCATTCTAGGTTGCCTGCAGTACTTCACCAGCACACTTTTGAGCCAGGTTATTCAGCCAACCAACAGAAGCAACGACACCAAGAGACCATTGCAAGTCCAGTTGCTCCACAATCCGCTCAAAGAAGTGTTATCCTATACCGTTCAAGCAGTGCCTCGTATCCTGTGGAAACTCAGGAAATTATTCCTAAAGAACAGCAAAACCTTACACAGTCTACTGAGGGACCAACCGGAAGTCCCATAAGCTTGGCAGAGGTGTCTAAACGGCTAGAGAGAAAGACTTTGGACTCTCCTCCTTACGAGTACCCAGATTGGGAAGCAGCCGAAAGGCAAGCTTACATTGCTCAACGACAGACCCCCAGGGTTGATGCTGCTGCCCCAGATCTTCTAATGAGACCAGAGGAAGGAGATGAAACACAGATGTACCAGTGTTCTAATGGAACCTTAGAGAATGACGAGCCACCAGTGCTGGCCTACGAAGGAGGCTTGAGACAAGAAGAGTACTACGAGAGTCACTCTGGAAAGGACACTTCCTCAAGTGACGGGGATCCCCGCAGCTCTGATAAAGAGGGCTCCACCGATGATGAGTCTCCCTCTTCTTCTTGCTCTGATACAGGGAGCAACCATCCTTACATATTCATGACCCAGAGCTCCTTCTCACCAAGCCAATGCAAAGACGGCCAAGCGGAAATCAAAGGCACTGCCCTACCCCACAAATTGAGACTCAAACACAGAGCTCAGAGCGATGGGAGAGCATCGTCTCAAGACTCGCCGACGACGCCACCTGCTAACTTCCAGCCATTACCTCAGCATCCTTACCTGGCCTTGTCTCAATCTGGCGGCCAGTCAAGTCCAGGGTTTCACAAGCAGGCCACCTCGACTGGAAACATCGAATGTGGGAAGAAGGAATCCAGTATGCGTAATGGTCATAACAAGAGACATGACTGAACGGGAAACTGTGGGACTCACTTGGGTCTTGATATAAAGCCCCGAGAGACTTTTTATAAACCCATCTTGAGGTCCTACCTTGATCTTGTACCCTTCACCCCATTCCCTGTTCAAATGCCTAGGGATAAGAGAAGTGGACATTGTCAGGACTGCTGCATTGTACCATAATGTATATACTTACCGTTTGTTGGTTTGGTTTGTTTGTTTGTTTGACGTCCTCTTAACGTTACAGCAGCACTTACAACAGAATGAAATAGGATGACATGCTATTGATCGCACTTACCTGTAGTTCCCATGCTGCAGCAAGATGTCAAAGTGTGTCATTCAATTCAAAAGCAATACCTACCATATGTGAGGCATTGTAACGGATTCATATTTGTAAATAGGCAACTTCAAGTGCCCCTATCTTAGTTTTTGGCCACACCTTAACAACAGGACATTTGCAGGTGGCTGTGCACCATTTTTAAACATACCAAACACCAGAAGATTAAGGGAACTTTTCCCTTGACCAAAGAAACATGGCTTTAAGTTCATACCTCTCTCTGCTCCCTAACTCTGTCTGCTTTTCTAACTAGTGCTCCCCATCATTTCCCCACATTAAACAGCCTAGCTACCACTCCTCCTTGACCAGGCACTTGGTTTGTATGTATAAAATGTGATATAAATATTATATATTAATATATTTTAAGAAGAAAACAAAAAGATTACATGAAAAAATAGCAAGTTCAGTGACTAATGAATTTGTCCTTGTCAAAAATACTGTACAATATCAGTGTGTTTGCTGTTTGAGATGCCACTTGATATAAACTCCTTTTTTTTTTTTTACAATTAAATATTTTTTTTAGAAACTCTCCTTTTATAGGAAAATTACAAAATGCCCCAAAGCCTTTACAGATACATTAGCGGGTTGATGTAAGCTTTATGTCATAGATACTAAAATGTGTTTTCATTGCAGTTATAACTCATTGTCTGGTCTTGAAACATTACTTGGTGTTTAACGTAAAAAAATGTATTTTCCATATAATGTTTAAAACCTTAAACCTATCCTAAAAGTACATATCTAGCTTCCCTTTTATGTAGCCTCCTCCATGTTTATAGTTTTCCTTATACCCCAACTGATGTAAAAACATTGATTTGCTTCATCATAACCTGTTACAGAGAGAACTGTCTATAGGCTTAATGCAGAATGACTTTCTCTTCCTGTCTGGTTATGAATGTGAAAGGAATGTTTTGCTCTTATTAGCATGGGGTTTACAGGAAACCACCCACCCTGCTTACATCAGTATAAATGGATGATTACTAGCATAGTGTCTTTGACCGCTTGCCCTTGAGGCCCCTAGTTAAGCGATTCAGCTGGCTGATACTGCAGTTTTTTCAGTCTTTAACTGGTTGGCTGACTCCTCGCTAGTTAACCGCTACCCTGCATATGTTTCCCTGCCAAAAATGAGGTTTAATTAAAGTGGTTGAGCTTTTTTTCCACTTTTAAAAGAATGCATGTACATTTTTCAGGTGTAGCTCAATTTAGTCACAACCCCCCTTTTGTATTGTTCCAAAATAAGTCTACATGTCACGTTAACTTATGGCACTTGTGTATAAATGTAAAATATTTTTTACTCACAACACTGTATTGTGCTTTTTAAATGAACTGTTTTGGGGGCCAAGTGTTGTCCTGTTTATCACTAGCTGTGTCTTTACTTCCTGTTTGCTGTGATTTCGTAATTGCTCACCACAATGTCACCTATCCCCCTTAGTCCTTTCAGTGTGTTTCAAACTGAGTGATGTTTGATGTTTTTATTTTCGTATGGTTTTATCAAAATGAACATGGAAAAAAAAAGCGAACAAGGCTTGTGTGGTGTTACTGAGTAGACCGTGGCACTGCTGTTCTGTTGCTCTGTTTTGAAATGCATATTGTAAATAACACTAATATTCAGTGCTAGGGTTGGGTGCATTTCAAAAATTCAACAAAAAAATAAAAAAAGTTGTTGCATTATTCATGTGTTTGTCCTTTCTTAATACTTTATCCACCTATGTAATTATATACTGCAGTTGTGTAATTAGATTTCGCAACATGCAATTACAGCCTTATTCAATCAAATTTATTGACATCAGATTACATAACTGTGAATATTTCAGTATGTTTAAAGAAGTTTTGACTGCTGTGTAAAAAGAATTTCACTCAAGCTGAAAGAGATTAGTGAACAAAGGCAAGAATAAACAGCCTATATCGTCTGTTTTAATCTGGTTTAACATTGCGAAAGGGCAGAAGTGTTGAATGTCTTGTTCTGGCCTATCATGAGATACTGACACACTGACACACATCAGTCTAGCTTTACCACAGGCTTACTTTACTTATGTAACACTGACCTAGTTACTCGGTGTGCTGCTTAAACAAGTAACATGCTACGCATTCGTGTTGCTCAGTGAACTGATATGAACAACTTACACACTGAAAGTCACTCATAATGTGGTACACAATGTGCGTATTTGAGAATAGCGCTGCATAAACATAAACACAAGCTATGTAGTCAAACAGGATACAATCTGTTTCTTTCTCTTTGTGATTGTATCTACCAGAATACAGATTAAACCCTTATTTCTATAGTTCCTTCATGTTCTCATTGTAGAGATATGCATGTATGGAACGGCCTGTCCTGCTGATGAGGACATGCACAGGTCAGCAGATCTTTCAGGTGTTTTTAGTTTTAATGCCACACAAGTAGGCCAAAACCAAATCCATGGTGAGTTTAAAGTCTAGACATCCCAAGAACAAAATATTCACACTTGTATGCAGATCTATTAAGAGTATGTTGAGCTCATTTTCAAGTTCTAAAGGGTTTACTTCGCTCTCCAGTAAGGATAGCCTGAGGTACATAATAATTTCAGATCATTTTGGGTCAGCTGCACTTGCCCTTTCACACCAGTGCTGTATTGCACTATACATCATGTTTGTTAATCACTTACAATGGCTTGAAAACTTAAACATGTGGTTTTCTATTCTTACATACATACGTACATGCATACACACAAGCAAATAAATAAATACATCTAAACACAAAGTACAAAATATGTTGAAATGTAAATTTTAAATGTATTAAATATATTTGTGATAATTTCTTAAACTACTAATATATATTTTATTTATATATATGTGTGTGTGTTTGTGTGAAATATATCTATTTGCATCTACATCTATCTATCCATCTATCTGTTTAAATATCTATCTCTTTATATATCTATATCTATAGAACAACGAAAAAAATCTTATTGTTGAGTCCTGGTTTAGTTTAGCTGAATGAAACAAACATACAATGCCTGCAGTATTGTATCGAACAGGTCTCGTCGACTTGTGTTGTTTGAATCCATTGTCCTTGAATAAAACCGAAGCACTTGTTCTGATTACATTCAGATTACATTTCAACGAGGAGGATGTTACACAATCTGTGTGTGAGGACACAGAAGCAGACAGACAGGTCCCGAACACAGAGCTGACATAAGAGTCTATTCAAAATGAGTGGGACAGAATAAGGGATTGTGCTGAGGGGATTTAGATCTCTCCTGTGACACCAGACTGTCTGATCGGAAACACCCTGACCTGGTCGACACTACAAACTGGCGACGCGACACAACAGAACTAGAGCACTCTGTCTATAGAGCAGAGCCTGTCTATAGCAGAGATTCAATGCACAATCTATAGCCAAATAGAACGGCAAGACTATGGAACACATTGATATTATATAGTGATTTTCCGAGGGAAAAATAGATCTGGAATGATGTCATTTATATATATATATATATATATATATATATAATTAATGTTTTTACACATACATTAAAGGTTCCAAAGTTCAGGGTCTGTCAGATTTTTAAAAGTTTTTGTATGAAGTCTCTTCTGCTCACTAAGGCTGCATTTATTTAATCAAAAATACAGAAAAAATAGAAATATTGTGAAATATTATTAATAGTTAAAATAACGGTTTTCCGTTTTAATATATTTTAAAATGTAATTTATTCCTTTGATTCAAAGCTGAATTTTCAGCATCATTACTCCAGTCTTCAGTGTCACATGATCCTTCAGAAATCATTTTAATATTCTGATTTGCTGCTCAGGAAACATTTATTGTTATTATTAATGTTGAAAACAGTTGTGCCTCTTAAGTTTTTCTCAGGATTCTTTGACGAATTAAAAAGTTCAGAAGAAAAACTTTTTTTTTTAAATACAGTAGTCAACATTTAAAGTGGATCAAAAAAGTTAATCAAAGTTGTCCTAAGACAAGAATGCATTTTGGTTTTAGGACAACTTTAATGAAACTTTGATGGTTTTGATCCACTTCAAATGTTTACTACTGTAAACATATTTTGTAAAATTATCTGTCATTCTTGATCAAGTGAAGGCATCCTTACTGTATTTAATTATTTATTTAAACACACACACATAGATAGATAGATAGATAGATAGATAGATCACATTGTATTGGGTTTTTTATATAAAGGTTAAACAAAATATATTTGTCACAAAATTATATTTAGCATATATGCAGTATATATTGTAAAATGGGTTATAAAAATTTAGTGATTTAGATGAAAACCAACCCCCGAATTGTAGCTATAAACTATTTTTAAAACACAGGCAAATTATTTGTTGCTTCATAAAAGATTATATTGCAGTGAATCATGTTGATAAATATTGTTGATAAATATTAACCCAATTTATTGACCCATATTAACCCAACTGGTTAATACTGGCAATGAAAGAAATACGTGCCACTAAAGCGTGCTGAGAGAAATAGGCCAATGCAACCAATGCCAGCAGCCTCATAACTACATGAACACTATTAATAATCACCTCTATTTTTGAAGCCAGTGTCGTAACCTGTTTTGTGAGCTTTGAAACGCCAGTGCAATGGCTGCTGCAGTGTCGGAGGAAAGGTGGGACAGCGGTAGATCTAGTGATCCCCAAACAACAGCAGTCCCAACAGTAGTATACAGTCCTATGGATTCGGCTTTCCCTTTGTCCCCTTTTTGTGACTGGAGCACATGGAGGCTTGCATAAACAGGTCAGTTGAAAAGTAGGTCAGTGTGAAGGGAGGGAGGAATGAGAGAGAGATGGTGATAGACATAGAAGTGAAAGTATTGGGAGAAAAACAGAAAAGAAAGAGCGAGAGGCCTGTCCTGTAGAGGAAAGCTCAGGGAAAACAGGCTTCTCAGGTTACCTGGCTTATTTCGAACAGCCGAGAGCGCTGGGTCAACAGATCAGGCCACTGCTGCATGTGTTTGTGCCATTGCACAACGGAAATATTGTGCATTGGGATTTTGGCCCACTGCAGGCTTTCCTTCACATGGACAGGTCTGCAGAAACACCATCTGCCCTCTGCAATCACAGTCAACAAAGCCAACATTTAAATAAAACAGTTTTTTAATTAATAATGCAAGTTGCATACTTATTCGCACAGAAAGATTGGTCTGCTGAATCTGCCATTTAAAAAAATTATAAACACCTTTAAGTGCTGTAGATCTAGACTCAACTATTTAGCTGCATTTTTTCAACTCTACGGTGTATTATTTTATTTAATTTTTTTGTAAGTTGTAGCTAAAAAAATGTAGCTTGATTTACTAGCAAGTACCATTTTATTTTTTCTACTTCAAAATGTCACTTAATTCAACATGTTCCCTGAAAAAAAAAATTCACTCAGAAATAGATGGTGAATTTCATAAATAATTACACATAAATTAGTGCCGTCAAACGATTAATCTTGGTTAATCGCATCCAAAATAAAAGTTTTTGTTCACACAATACATGATGAGTGTGTTGTTTGTATATTTATTATATATATAAATATATATATAGAACACACGCATGTATATATTTAAGAAAAATATGTTATCTTTATATATTGAATATATTTAAATAAAATATAAATTATATGAATATATATATATATATATATATGTGTGTGTGTGTGTGTGTGTATATATATATATATATATACACACACACACATATAAATACATATAAATATTTTCAATATATATACTGTATGTGTTTGTATTTATACATAATATATATACACAGTACACACACATTTGTGAACAAAACATATTTTGGATGCGATTAATTGCGATTAATCGTTTGACAGCACTAAAATAAATGGCAAGAAATGGAAACAATGAATAAAATGTTGGAAGTAGAAAGACTGAAATAGTATTGTCTTGTAAAATGTACATTAAGTAATCTTTATTTATGACTTCCAAAAAATATTTTACAGTGTACTTGCCATTTCTTTGTAATGATTTCTGATTGAATATCGCTTCAAAGTAAATCCTTAGCCAATTTATTTTTCAGTGTACACCAAATTGAACAATACTGCACATAATTGATACTTTAAAATAAGTTAGACTATTTATTTAGTCATCTAATAATGCATATTGAAATATATTGTCACTCAAACAGTAGAGCATTGCGCTAGGCACACAAAAGTCACTGGTTCGACGGATAGCAAGAACAGATAAGACGTGCATCTTGAATCCAATGCAAGTCACTCTGGATAAAAGCATCTGTCAAATGCATATGTAAAGGTATATTCATTAAAATGTTAGGCTTAAATGTTTGCATGTGGTTTGCATTTGGTTAACGGTTATTTATGTGTGAAAATGCAAAGGTTTTTGCACAATGCATGTTAACAACTTTCTCCACTCAACAAATAAATGTAGTAATTGTATTATGGTATTTTGACATATATACTGTGGTACAGATTGACTGGTAATATTGATGTTAATATCCATATTTACATTGATGCACATCCATGGTGTTTACCTGGCATTTCAATGCATCTGTTTATTTTTCGAAGGTGTAAAACAGACTATTGGAGTATATTTTACACAAAATATTTGTACTTTACCATTTCACATTTAATTTAATGTTACTTGCTGTTTCTTTGTAATTATTTGTGAATTTTGTACGCAATTATTTATTTTTTAGTGCATGTAAGTGTC